GACTTGGTTGACATATGTCATCGGTTCCCAATTGTGCAGATTGATGCTCATGCTGTTGATCACTGGATTGTCTGGTCCAGACTCGATCATTTATAGATCGCCGCCATATAGCTGGAATGTTGCTGAGTGCGGCGTAAAACTAAACTCACACACTCACTCGATCATTTACAGACCGCCCCCCGGCCCCATATGGCAATGATATTGCTGATTGCAGCGTATAACTCAACTCACTCACTCACTCGATCATTTATAGACCGCCACCATATAGCTGGAATATTGCTGAGTGCAGCGTAAAACTCAACTCACTCACTCACTCGATCATTTACAGACCGCCCCCATGTTGCTATGATATTGCTGATTGCAGCGTAAAACTCAACTCACTCACTCACTCGATCATTTACAGACCGCCCCCATGTTGCTATGATATTGCTGATTGCAGCGTAAAACTCAACTCACTCACCCACTCACTCGATCATTTACCGCCCGCCCCCATATTGCTATGATATTGCTGATTGCAGCGTAAAAGAACCATCAAACCACAACAGGAGATCAATGACAGACAGATCAGTGATAAAGGTTTGTTTACGAGAAGACCATTTAACCTTGGGTGCAATCTTTGTACTACACTCCAGAACCAACAAGTATCGCAATGATATGAGAGAGTTCTAATATTCCTTTGTTGACCTCACGACCGTTGTTGACAGTGGACATAGAAATGGGATGCTTGTCAAGTTGTTTCGATTGGGGTCTGTGAGAAAATTGAACTCCATAATCAAATCGATGAATGCTGAAGAAAAATACAAATGCATCTCTTCTATCTTTGACTTTGTGTCAATATATTCGCCGCATTATCATAACATTGTTAGAAATGTCGATCGGTATTAGGAACATGTGTCTGTTTTCAAACTTGTCCAGCCAATTTCACTGTAAATCAAAGATAATATTACTTTATTTGTCGATATTTATGAAAGGCTTCACGCAATAACATAGTTATCCGTTACAGTCCAACCTGATGTGAATATCTTTAAAAATAATTCTTTATTTTTGTTGCATTTATGTATGGTTGTACATGTATCAGACGTCCGTACATTTTGCTGTGTATTTCATAAAGTAATGAAAGCTTTTGAGTTCCCCCTGAATCATTTAAAAAAAATATTGATTTTATATGATAAAAAATGAAAATAAATTGTTTGCATACAATGATTTATTGGTCCAAAATTGGGTAGCAGAGAGCCAAGAAGTATATCTTTCTTATTGAGTTTAATGGATAAATCGGCTTTCTGATTGACCCATTTTTCAACGTGGTTGCAATACCAAAAGCGATGATGAACACATATATTGCTGTCTACGTATCCTATTTTAAAAAAATAATTAAAAGACTTTGTTGGTAAAATATGGTGAAGAATATGATGCTGAACATCTGCGGTTTAAAAATTTGCAGGCATTTGGAATCATATTGTATTTTCATCTATCTGATATGAATATGTATATCATAATTTAGACAAGGGCTTCAATGGCCTCTGTTTCTTTTCCTTACATAAACTTCTGTTCTGTACCTTTGTAGCTTAGTGGTTGAACCGAAGACCCGAATTTGATTCCCTACAATTCTACCCCGCCCTGATAGTCTATTTTGCAAACATCTTGGAAATCATTTTCAGCTACGTGTACATAAGTTTCTTTCATCTTTCCGTTGATTAGTTTTCAAATGACACCTGATTAAGCACCATATATAAGTACAACTTTAATCTTTCCCATAGACAGCCATGCTAAACCTGATTGGTATGTCTAATATGAGTTGTATAAATAGTTGCAGTTTTCTCAATTATCATCGGAAAATTGAATGGAAATTATGTGTATGCAGCTGAGATGATTTCCCAGCTGACAGAAAAGTATTGAAAGCAATTCGACCAAAACTAAATTTAGCAAAATTATTCTTGCAAGTGTTAATAACATGCAAGTCTATGAAAATATCACTAATGATGACTCACTTATGGCCAACTACTTGCTGTAGCTGGCGCTGATCTCCATCTGAGTTGTCGATACTCTTCACTGGGATGTATCAATTTTCTTGATTATTTTATCGTGTACACAAAGGACACCCACTAAAGCTAATTGCCAGTAAAGTTCCATAGACAGTTGGGGCGGTGGGATAGCCTAGTGGTTAAAGTGTTGGCCTGTCACGCCGAAGACCCGGGTTCGAATCCCCCCATGGGTACAATGTGTGAAGCCCATTTCTGGTGTCCCCCGCCGTGATGTTGCTGGAATATTTCTAAAAGCGGCGTAAAACCAAACTCAAGTCAGTCAGTCAGTCCATAGACAGTTATACCTAACTGCCATAATGATTTTACGCACATTTATTCATCGCAAACTACATAGTCCCCGTTCGCCATTGACGACCTTGGCCATGACCTACCCTGCACTGAAAAGAGCCAGCGATCTGATTGGCTATAAATAACCTACGTTCCACCAGACCTCGTTCCATCCTTTCCCCAGTTTTCAATACCAACACCCTTATAACATGTTATTAAATGTTTTGCCTTCAAGACCCGTTAGTGACAACTTATACCTTGACGCCAGTTTTAATGTGTTATAAGCCCTTGTGGTTCCTGCGTCAAAAGAACTGTGAAGATCCGGGTTAGAATTAATCTTCAGTAATCCATGCTTGTTGTAAGGGACAACTAACGGGATCGGGTGGTCAGGCTCGCTGACTTGGTTGACACATGTCATCGGTTCCCAATTGCGCAGGACCCGTGAAGGTCCGGGTTAGAATTAGTCTTCAGCAACCCACGCTTGTTGTAAGAGGCGACTAACGGGATCAGGTGACCAGGCTCGCTGACTTGGTTGACACATGTCATCGGTTCCCAATTGCGCAGGACCCGTGAAGATCCGGGTTAGAATTGATGTTGATAACTGGATTGTCCGGTTTCACCTCGATTATTTACAGACCGCCGCCATATAGCTGGAATATTACTTAAGCAGCATTCAATCAATGCACCAATCCTGCATTTCCATGCTAGTCTGTTGATTGTGTTTGATATGTGTTTTTGCGTTTCCAGAGAAACAGGTTTGAGTCAAGTTAAATCAGGAGGTGGGGATTCATTGGCTGATTATAGAAGAATTTCGAAATTACATATCGTACGAAGTAAATGGCCGGATTGTAGGCCGTGTGTTGAAATCACCTTCACCTCAAAAACCTTAGAAGTTCTTACCCGATTTCAGAATGTACCACCTTAAAGTTCATTTTGGTACAAGGGAATCTCTTTCGCAGATATTGGAGACAGACGGTGACGTTTTAAGAACTATGTGTGCGTGCGTGCGTAAATAAATACATTGAAAATATATTCCAACTATCACGAAACCTTTGTCAAAGTTACGAGAAAAAACCCTAGAAATTCTGAAAACAAATAAGCTGATATTGATTAACTGTTTTTTGTTTCATTGCTTCCAGTACACCGTCATGTAATTGAGTACGGCAATTAACAACAACGTTTGTGACATACTTCTGTATTGTCATGATTATCGATTATCTGCCGCAAACAGTGTAATGAGCAAAATCATATTAAAAGATCACTTAGTTGACTCTGATATCATGCATATTTTACCAAACTGGTAGCTCTTCTATTTACATAATTTGCATATAACAACCGTGGCGATAGTATACTGTATCAAAAGATGCGTTTCAGAAGGCGCATCCATGTTACAGCAGGTGCTCGCTGTGCCAAATACTTTCCTTGGCCAAGAGAAGAAGCCCCAGAGTGAAATGGCGTGCAGAGTGTTCACAGGTGTATGTGTGATTGTGTTCCATATTAACCATGCTGAAGCAGGTACGTCAACATCATTCGACATCGCTTATATACTGTACATATATATGTCATTGTATGTCAGTTTTTGTATTATGGTTTGGTTGGAAACATGAGTTGAGCGAGCCTCTACACCCGAACCTCTTGTTACAAGCATGGGTTCCTAAAGCTCAGTTCTAAACCGGACATTCACTTGGTATCAAGCTTATTTGTTGTTTAACAAATTGTTGTGTCAGCAATATTCCAGCTATATGGCGGCGGACTGTAAATAATCGAGTCTGGACCAGACAATCTAGTGATCAATAGCAAGGGCATCAATCGACGCAGTTGGGATACGATGACATGTGTCAGCCAAGTCAACGAGTCTGACCGTTAGTCGCCACTTACTGACTGAAGATCAATTCTAACCCGGATCTTCACGGGTCGTATTGGCAAATACCTGTTTCCCAATTTATGGTCCGTGAACATTTATAGTTGTCGGCCAAATAGCATCTTAAGGAATATCCTAACCTGATAAGGGTAATTTTTATTATCTCAGAAATGTCATGGTTGTCAGACAAATAAATAACGTCTCCAGGGATATCCACTCCTTATAAGACGTTTTGTTATGCTCCGAGAACATTCATGGTTGTCAGCCAAATAGCATCTCCAGGAATATTCTCTCCTCATGAGGTGTATGATATGGTCCGAGAACTTTCATGGTTGTCAGCCAAATAGCATCTCTAGCAATGAATACACAATACAATTTAGAAAGTGGTCAAATGTTACATATGTTATCTCCAGCACACAAAAATGGACAGCTGGTAGTCTAGACTGCGGGCATTGCGTACCCCTATGATAAGTGTAAATTGGCACGGACGAAAGCTATGAATACACAGTGCCATTTAGAAAGTGGTCAAATGTAACATATTTCATATTTGGGATTACACTTTCTTAGTTGAGTACATATTCTGGTATTCTTTTTAGGATATCCTCTCCTTGTAAGGGGTGTTTTTAGGGTCAGAGAACTTTCATGGTTGTCAGCCAAATAGCATCTCTTTGAATATCATGCCCCTTTTGTTTTTTCCCCAGAGATTAACTTAGCTGAAAACAAGCCATCAAACGCATCAATTACAGGGAACAGAGCACCTAGTGTGATAAATGACGGACGTCCAGATTTGACATCGTGGGGCGGCGGAAGTTGCCTTGCCCTTGGTGACATAGACCCCTGGTGGCAAGTCGATTTGCAAGGCAAGGTCATGGTGACGAAGGTCAAGGTCACAAATAGAAAGGACTGCTGTCGTGAGTATGATACAAAATCACGTCTCCTGGTTCCGATCCACAAAGCGTTCGTAACGTTACGAACATTCGTACGGCTATACTTTTTATCATTGGCTTACGAATGACGTAATGCTACGCATGCTTTGTAGATACTGTCCCTGGCGTAAGACTGAACTGTTAAATAATATTGCATGAAAATTAGGATGTGGTGATTTCGTGTCAAATTAGATGTCGTTCACGTCGCGGTCTCACAGCGTCGTCCACGCCAGACTGAGGGAGAGGACGGAACAAAGATCCTGTTTCAAGGAAACCGCACAATCATTAGTCGTACAGACCCAAAAACAAATTCAAGAAGGCCCATGCAAGTTCTGAATGTGTGGCCAGTCTAGATTACCACAGTTTCAATAAGAGTGAGTGAGTGAGTTTAGGTTAACGCCGCACTCAGCAATATTCCAGCTATATGGCGGCGGTGAATTTCAATAAGAAAGTCTCTGGGTCCCTTTTCTTTATATTTTAAGATAACAATGTATATTTTTTTTAAAATTGCTCATTTCAAAGACTAAATGTTAGTCTGCACAATCTTCTACAGCATGGAGACAACCATGGTGCAATAATGTCTGGGGAATCATACTTGACAATGCTGGAAGGCTGCTTAATGTGGAGGAAACAAACTGACTTGCTCTGTTCGCAGATGCACTATTAGAGACGATGTGTATTGACTGTAGAAACTGGATAGTTCCAACACTATCGTTCAGCTAATAGCGGTAATACTCAAAACGCGTTCTGGTGCCATCTATAGACATTACATGGATGGTGCTCATTATATCAATCACTGGTTTGTCTGTTCTAGGTTGGATTACCTAGATGCTGCCGCCATATATCTGTATTCATGTGAATGTGGGTGTGTTTAAATATATACATGTACATGGAACATTGCTGAGTGCGGCGTAAACAAACACCAAACCAAACCACATAGAAACTTGGTTACTTGTTATACTTTCAGCTGGGAGATTTCGCGATTTCTCCATTGATGTGTACGAGATGGACCCCTCCATACATCCCACGGCAGTTTCCCAAAGGTGCCATTACTATCCAGGAAGCGTCACTACTCCTGGTGTGACCCTTCCCCTTCCCTGCGACAACGCCGTCACTGGACGATTCCTACGTGTCTCTGGCGAGATATCGAAACACCATAACGACCCATTTCAGCTGTGCGAGGTCGAGGTGTTTGGCGTGCAAATATCGAGACTTACGACATGTAAGTGTGTCTTGTAGAAACATTTGTCATTCACCTACATGTTGTGTAGCGTCACTGGTGGGGCAGGATACCCTCACCTTTACGCAAACACTGGTATCATCTCTGTTTGATATTCAGTCAATAAAATTAGACGCCATCAATTATGAGTGCGGCGTAAAACTAAACTCACTCACTATTTGATAGTGATTCATAAACATATATATGTTCGTGATAAACTCGGAGTCGTACCTTTGACTTTGTTATCATAATAGATGTTTTATGAATGAGGAACGATTTTTTCAAACTCACTAAGCTAAAAGCTTTCCAAAAAATTTAACCCAAAAGGTAATCAACAACGGACTGCAAAATAGGTAACCTTTTCCATAGCAGGGAAAAAAACAACAACAAATAAACAAACAAACAAACAATCCCGACAGAACCCATACACCCGAACTGTTCACTCAGAACTCAAATATTTTTACCAGAAATGACTAAAGATGAAGAATGTATAGTGTCTTTTCCGAACTGTAAAAATCATCATATTTGGTTGTTGTTTTTTCACAATAGCGTGTCATTGGAGAAATGTATCTCAATGAGTCACAAGATATGTTATTTTGAGTTTAGAAGGATATCTCTATACTCTATACAGACAAAAGCAATTTTTGCGACAACAAGTCGGCAAGTATAACAGAACCCTGTAAACCAAAAATAACTTTTATATCCTTTGTGCGTTTTTTCCCAGGTGCATCATTTGTCCAATATGACGGCAAACGTTTTAACAAGCCACCGAGCAGAACCATGAACATCGGCGGCAATGGCAGAGCGGCATGTGCTTCCGAGTGTGAACGCGATATGGCATGCGCAGGATTCAACATCCGGTATGAGTCGGAAGTCACGTGTGAGCTTATTAATGGAGCGGCCGTTTCGGCCCAGGTATCAGATGCTTCGTGGGATTGTTACTTGTATGAACCATGTCCAATCACGTGCGGGATGTAATAGTATATGTGTGTTTTGATGGCGTTTCATGAAATGGGGAATATCAGCACTTTAGAATTGCGTGATTTTTAGCTTTCACAATATTATCGATCAGGATTAGTATATATGTTTCCACGTGTGCCTGTTGACTGGCAAATCTTATATAATATAATATAATAATATATATTAGTCTAATAGTCACCTATTACCTTACTTTCATTGTAATAGTTATACCCCTGAAGATCCGGGCAAGAAATGGCCTTCAGCAACCCAGGCTTGTCGTAAAAGAAACTAACGCGATCAACGGGAGATAAGAATACTATATGTTATTTCACGACAGATTGGAAATTCAAATGAGAATCTCAGACAATAACACGAAGAATCCTAACGCATAAGCGAAAACATGACCACGCCTAGTGGCATACTTTTGATCTCTGATTGGCTGAAAATAGGATGGGAGGGGATGATTTGTATTTTTGAGCTAGATAAAAAGAAGATAAAGCTACCCTGTTTTCAATTTAGCAGTCCTTTATCGTTGATTTAAGACCGCTAAATTAAACATTTAGCGGTCTTAAATCAACGATAAAGGACCGCAAAGTTCACAACAGAGTAGCTTTATCTTCATTCTAGCACGACTGATAAGCGTTTTAAAACCGAAGTGTTTGGCGCGCAAGAACACAAGGCGTGAAGGGGTCTTTTTCCTGGTAATTGTCGGAATCGTCCTGTTGACTGACTGACTGAGTTTCGTTTTACGCCGCTTTTAGCAATATTCCAGCAATATCACGGCGGGGGACACCAGAAATCCTGTTGAGGGACATGTTGTGTAATGAACAAAATAAGACATTTTCAACAACATAAATGCTTTATTTCAGGAACCAGTATGCTTGTATTTGTAACAAGTAGCATACATAAATAACAAAAAATACAGTTAATATTGTGAGCAAGTACAATTATTTTTTTTTCATTTTTCTCAAGCAAATTATTGATCTCCCCCTACTGAGAATATACTGCCGCTTTTGCGCTGCTGACGGATTTTCCAGATTCGTAGTTTCTTCACTGAGAATAGGGTCAAGAAATCCTTCTTCAAGCCATTCGCTGTTTACTTCAAAAACACCAAAGATGCTGCCGAGGTAGAAATTGCCGATGTCCGACATGTTTGTATACAAACAATAGGGTCAACGAGTTCGTTGTATTCATACGCGGCGAACCGGTCACTTTAATTAGCGGTCTTAAACTGCCAATTAAGTACAGTTTTGATGAGCTTTCAGCCAATCAGAATCGAGTATCACACAATGTCGTGCTAGAATTAGTTTTTATTTGTGCATATGTGCATGTGCGCGTGCGTGTGCGTGTGCGTGTGCGTGTGCGTTTGATTAATTAAGCAGTCAAGTATCAATCAATGTATTACCAAAAACAACACGATGATATATGTGTATCACTTCTAAATGCCCTTCAAAGACCTTAAATAACATGGTCATACAGCGGGGCATGGCAACGAACAATCACTATATGGTCGCTTTTAGCAATATTCCAGCAATATCACGGCAGGGGGACACCAGGAATGGACCTCACACATTGTACCCATGTGGGGTATGGAACCCGGGTCTTCGGCGTGAAGAGCGAACACTTTATCCTCTGCGCTACCCACCGCACCTATTTTCTATCTAATCTATATATTCTGACTATATTTATATTTGTCAATGTCACTCTGTCCAACATAGATAATATCGTCCGCTGTTTGTATACAAATTGAAAAGAGCGTTGTAAATGTTTTGACCTTTTATGTCAACAAAAAGTGTTTAAAACAATGATATTGCATTAGTAGTGAACAACGTCTCCCTGGCGTCTTTTTCAAGATGGCGGCACATCCGGTCCCCATGGGCGCCGCCATCTTGGATCAAGATGGCGACGCCCACGGTGACCGGATGTACCGCCATCAGGGGGAGATCACTCGGATTCCGGTTCCGGTGGATGCGTACGCATGGCGATGACGTCACGTCCGGTTCCGGTGGGTGTGCGCGCATGACGATGACGTCACCTCCGGGCCAAGATGGCGGACGCGTTTCAAGAGGGCGGCCCATCTGGTGAGATCTCGCGGGATCTCGTGGATCTCGCGAGCGTAGACGCCTTTCAAGATGGCGAAACGGACGAGCGGCGGACGGGACGGAGAGGGAAGGGAAGGAGAGGGAAGGAGGGAAGGAGGGAGGGAGGGAGGGAGGGAGAATCCACGACTACCTATGAATGAACGCCTGAATTACCTGATGAAACGCAGTGGAAGTGGTACGTTGGCTGGTGTTTTGACCCGTATCTTGCTGAACTGGCAGTCCTACCTACAGGAAAAACAGCAGAAGCCCTCAGCACCTCGTCGCCGCCGTGTCCCCCAAAAAACCCAGGGACGTCGCAAGTCACCCACCCGACAAGAGAACAAGGAGAAGAAGAAAAGGGTCACTTCACCCTCAGCCCCAGGTGCAGCCTTGACCCGGATGGTGTTAAGAAGTCAAAAGAAGAAGAAGACGACAGTGGCATTACCCCCACTCCCTCCAGCGACATTACCATAAATAGAGGCCTCCCACCCCCATCCTGGTCAGTTCAACGGTAGCAGCTGCAGGGACGACACCATCATGTCTGCACGTTTGAAGCGTCACAAAGAAGCGCTCTGTCATGTGTGTAGTCCTTCTGCGACACCAGCCATGCGACAGGCTATTTTGAAACAGGCCCCATCGGAACTGATTCAAGCCATCTGTGAATGTGTGGTGAATTTGTATGGAGGCAACATTCCTATGACAACACAGCAACGTCAACGTTTACAAAAGCATGGGTCACTGATGCATACGTTGATGAAAAGGAAGGTGTCTGTGTCCAAGAAGCGTCAACTATTACAACAGAAAGGAAGAGGATTGGGTCTCTTGTCTGCCTTGGCATCGGTGGTGGGTCCCTTGGTGTCTGGCCTGTTGGGTAGATGATCCTCAAGGAAGATCATAAATAGAGGATGCATCCTAGATTGGGGTTAGTTGCATCTGTACCGTTCTACCACCAAGATGAAACATGCACGGAAGATGGTAATGGTCCCAGAAGAGGTATGGCAAAGTCTGCAAGAAGAAAAACGTCAACGGCATTTGCTCAAGTCCAACCTGTTGGAACAGAAACGCGTGCACACGCTTCACGATATGGATACCCTCGTCCGTGATGACACGGTTCCCTTTAGGGACCGAGAGCAGCAGTATAACACCTTGTTGCAACACACCTTGGCGTTTCAAGATCAAGCCGCGACCAAACCTTTAGAGCACACTGGCACCCCTAGGACGGGCACTCCCAGGATTGGTACCCCCAGGGTTGGCACTCCCAGGGTTGGAAGCCCCAGGGATGGAACTCCACACCGTAAGTACGGTTGACTTACTGAGTCGTGTATCTGCATGTGCCTGCGTAGAGGTCGCATTCCTAAGAATGAGTCCGCGAAGCCGGTCGTAGAGCAGTGGCTCATGGTTTGTTTGTTCTTTTGTTTCAGAACCTGATGATGTCGAAGCCATTCTGAATGAAGTCGTGCAAACGGTTCCCAAAACGCTACAGGCCAAGGCCAGGCAGTTGATGGCCCGTATTCGTGCTCACCCCGACTTGGGGTTGGAATGAGGCGGGTCAATTCGTGGTGGAAGGGAACCCATGCCTGGGACACACATGGTGGATCTCATCAATGATCTTGTTCGACAACGTACCAAATTAGGCCCTCCACGGGGTTGGAATATTCTGGGTCAGTATCTGGCTTCCAGCAACGTACCCCATGAACTGATTGGTAACCCTCTACGTTGGTCCTGGATGATGAAAACCAAAGGGTCATCCACCCAGCCCCCTGACACCCCCGTGAAGCGTCAACACCCTCCACCCGCTGACTTGTTTTTGACACCACCCGCATCCAACCTTCCTCTGGAACCCCAGAAGAAGAAAAAGGCTGTAGAGACCCCCTCCTCCTCCTCCCCTCTCAACCGGGTTCGTCAGTGGATTCACTTTTAATAAAAGGGAGCAGAGGGTGATGCCAATGACAGTGTCATCATGAGACGTCCAAAGAGAAACAACAACATCAGCAAAGCATCATCGTCTTTGTCTCCTGCATGGACACGATGGCTCCACCACACCTATTACGATCCCAAACACCCAGCAGGCTATGGAGGGTGGCTTGCCTTGTGGCAAGCAGCAGGACATCAAGCCAAAACAGGACCCAGGAAGGGGGGACCCAAGAAGGGGGGAAGCAAAACGGGGCCAAGGCCCACCCAACGCCAGGTTCGCCAATGGTTGAAAACCCAGGACACGCATTACACCTTGCACAAAAACCAGCCCGACGCTCGTTTCCCAGGGATCATTACCGTGGGTGGCGTGGATGAATTGTGGCAAGCGATCTGGCGATCTCCCTTGCGTATCAGAAAGGAACCAAGGCTACCGGTATTTGCTGTGTGTCATCGATGTCTTCTCCAAAATGGCTTGGGTGCAGCGCGCATGAAAGCCAGACCCGGTACCACTTTGATAGAGTCCTTTCACGGATCCTGAAACAAGCCAAAGGACGTGTGCCATCCCAGTTACAGACAGACAAAGGGACTGAATTTGTCAATGCCCTTTTCAAGCCTTCCTCAAGAAACGGGGTATTCATTTCTACACCAGTCAAAACCCAGAAACCAAAGCCTCTGTGGTGGAGCGTTTTCAAGGGCGTTGAAAACCGTATGTGGCGGTATTTCACCCAACAGGGAACATGCCACTACCTGAAGGCATTACCCCAACTGCTGCATTCCTACAATCATCGCGTCCATCGTACGATTGGACAACGCCCCGTGGATGTACGTCCTAACACTCCCTACGATGAAATTCAGGTGTTGGATCACATGGAACGACATAAGAAGCTGAAGCAGCGCCAACTCAAGACAAAGAAGAAAAAGAAGCACCCTTTCTTGTTACCCGGGACCCGTGTCCGTTTGAACAAGACCAAGGGCACGTTTGACAAAGGGTACCTTCCCAACTGGACCACCGAACAGTTCACCGTGGATCGGGTGGTGAAGGGCGTGTT